TGTATCTCTCTACAGTACACCCACAACATACGTTTGTATTTTAAACTGCTTTTGTCTCGTATATACCATCGACAAATGCGCCTTTTCTCTTCGGGGATAATAATCGCAACTAAAATACACTCAGGCGTTAATCGTTAGAAATTACACACACGCACACACTCTCTCTCTCTCTCTCTCTCTCTCTCTCACACACACACACACACACATTCACACACACATCACACGAATACGAACCGACTGGGCGGGGCGGGGCAGAAGAGGTGATTACAGTTTTTCTTTTTTTTTTTTTTCCGTCTTTTCATTCATTCGTTTTTTTTGTTTTTTTTTGCGGGGGGGTTAAAACTCATTTAATTTTTTGGATCAACCGTAGGCACAATTTCGAACTTATTTTATTATTATTGTTTATTTTCTTCGTCCTTGTGAATTTTAAAATATTGTTAAGAAGTAATTCAGAATTCTAAAACTTCAATGTACTTTTTCAGATATTGTAAAATAATGTAAATAAATTGTTTATTATAGAATAAAATTGAATTTTCCTTTCAGACAATCAAAGGAAGGAGGAGCAAAAAATTAATAATAATTATTAGTAGACCAGGGATTATTTACCAAAATATCCGCAAAAAGTATTTAAAAAAAAAAACTTTGATACATCGCAAAATGAAATAAACAGTGCGAAAAAAACAAAAAATTAAGTGAAATTTAATTACGTGATTTCGAGAGATCGATTGAATGTCCGTCGAGACATGGGAAACTTGACATATAATCAAATTGTTCAATCTGTTTAAAAATCCCCCCCTCCAAATTGTTGGTAACAACTTGTGTATTTCTACAAAGATCAATATTAACTGTTACCAAGAATAAATTTATGCGAGGAAATGCTTGTTATAAACGATTTTTGACGGATGTTTTTAATTCGCGTTCTTTCACGTGATAAGGTAAAGCGATTTGCCAATTCCCCCACCACCGCCCCCCCCACACACCCCCCACGTCACCATCGGAATAAACTAAACGGCCGTATTTGGGGCCAAAGTAGTAATTTATCGGACCCCATTTATCTGTCCTCTTGGCTGAAACAATAATGTTTCCAAATCTTTCATCAATTTAGATATTCTGCCGTTTGCTATTTATTACTTCAGACAAGCCACGTTTCATTTTAAAGTTTGATATCTTGTGATAAAAGCCGCCACCCAAAAAAACTACGTCTGTAGAAAGAGGCTTTTTTTTTTTTTTATCTTTCCGATAAAACAACTAAAAAGAATCTGATTTATTACTTTTTTTTATTTAGGCTTAAAACTACTGTTTTTGTTTTTTATGAGATATGTTATTTTTGAACGACTCTATCAAGTAATTATTTTAAATAGATCTTTACTATTTTTCTCATTTTAATTTTATGAATTGATCTGTGAGTTGGACATTTTAGATATTGCTCTAGTAGACACCCTGGGTTTTTTCGTGTTTTTTTTTTAAACAAAACATAAAAGGTTTAGAAAAAGGAATCATTTTCTTAATATATTGACTCTCTGCAAGGATATTAATCGGAATTACATTTATTTGTTTATGACGCACCTGCGCGCACGCTGGTGTGTGTATGTGTGTTTGCGGTAACCACTTTCCCGGCTGCTTCTTCCTTTATTTACTTTACGAATAACGTTCGGCCTCTTATTATTTGTCATTTATTTTGTTCGCCATAACGATTCGATGTTTAGTTTTCGACAAGGCGCGTCATTGGCGCGATTCAAACCAAATAGCCATTCTTCTGTCGACTCTGGGTAAAGTTTTTCTTCTCTTATTCGCGATGGCAACTTTTGTTTACATTCGTTTCTAAAAAAAAAAAAAAAAAAAAAAAAAAGGCGGTAGACGTGGGTAGAGCAAAGCGAATAGGCCACACTTGATGATGAAAAGCCGGTTTAGACAGCTCAGGAATTATTGACACGCAGCAACCGATTGTTTATTACTTACTATCACTAGTGTGTCTGTATGTGCGTGTGTGTGTGCGTGTACACAAAGATTCATGTACAAACACACACGCTGGAAACTCTCGGGCTCTCAATTATATGACACGAATGACAGAAATTACATATATCGATTTTTATTTAATCAAAAATTGATGGATTGCTTACCTTATATACGAAAAGTTGTTGAAAAGTTCTCAGTGTTACTGAAATGTTTTGAATTTTGATAATTGAAATATTGATTTGGGGGAAATGGTTTCGAGGATAGATAGCTTTTTATTACCCCCCGCCCCCCATATATATATATACACACACACACAAGAATGGATATTAATTACCCTGTTCGCAATAAGAACTTTGTTTTTTAAACAATCATCTACGGGTTTACGTATAGATAGAAACGCTGTGAGAGGAGGGGATGGCATAAACACATACGTTTCGGTTTACAAATATCTTTCTACAAGTGTTCATACTGTGTATGTATGTGTGTGGTGTGAGTCTGTACTTAGGTCCATGTTCTTTCTTTCTTTCTTTCTTTCTTTTCTTGATTCTATAAAATCAATAGGCGTTGTCCAAATCGAGTTTCAAGCAAACCTTTGTTTTCTCTTGGTCTCCGGGTGGGGTCATAATCTCTAATTAAAACAAATATAAAATAGCGCCCCCTTTTGGAAATGACGAAAGGCAACACCGAAAACGATAAGTCAATATCGTCAAAATGCTGCGAGATATTTCGTGTTAAGTGGGTACACACCCGAAAACCTTTCACACTCCCACAAACACACATACACACACACACACACTCAAAAGAAAAGAAGTAGATCAAGAAAGAAAAAGTAAATGGTGAAATAATAAAATTGCGGCCCGGCTATAAAAGGCGCAATTACTTGTAATCGAATTAAAATGTTTATCTTAACGGAAAACAAGCGAGAAAGAAAAAAGTGTTGAAGTCGAACCTCATTGTTTATAAGACCGTTGTAGTTACGATAAAGATTTATTTATTATTTTGTTAGGCTCGCCTGAACAAATATGTTTTGGGAGATAAAACAAATGTGTACGTCGACCGTTACCCAATTAAAATGGGATGAAAAAATTCATGAAAGGAAAAGCGGTCATGTCTCTAGCGATGCGAGTTTGAACTCAGAAAATATATTTTTTTTTTTTTGTGAACTGAAAATAAGTATTTAAAATTAAATATCAGTTCTGTGCAAAAGTTTCCAGCGAAAACAAATGAGATTCGATGGCGTTTTCAAAATAGTCGGCTGGCTTCTTTTGCACATATTGAGCGACAAAAATGACAACAAAAAATATTGATGTATAAAATAAGAAATGGTTACTACAAATAAGTCGTTTGTCGTTTAATAATGGAAAAGAATATACCATAGGTAGGTAGGTAGGTTAAAAAAAAGTTGAACAACCAGAAGCAAAGAAATAATAATTTATACAAGGAATTTTAATTGTGTCTTTGTCAAAGTTGGCTATAAATAACAGCTTTTTTCTGTTACTCAAGGTTTTTGTTTACTCATTCTTCTCCGCTAGATATCGTGACATACCAGTGACGAGGAATTATCTTGACATCTAGCGATGGGACGCTACAGGAAGAAGTAGATTCATGCCTTTTACAAAGGTTTTATTGTGAAATAAATGTAACGTTAAAAATCTAATTTGTATTCCGTTAAGATTCTCCATGCTGAGAAAAAATATATAAGTCTGGCACAGGGCTGAATGGAGGGTTTGTGGGCTGGAAGATTGTATTCTGCCAATCTTTTAACAGGCAGGCTAGAGCTTGATTGCCCTGAAAATCGATAATCGAAAACCTGACCATTAACTGGAGTTGAGCACCAATTAGTGGCGACGGTAGAAAGTACACAACTCTCCTTTTAAGCGTTCCTTTATTCTTAAATTATAAAATGATACATTTATGTATTTACTTTCCTACGTCCAATTCGTGTGTGTGTGTGTGTGTGTGTGTGTGTGTGTGTGTGTGGAGAGAGAGAGAGAGTGAACAGACTGAGATATAGTTTCCGTACCGTACGCACGCACATGCTGTTCGAATTTGTGTGTATGTGTGTGCGTGTGCGCGCTCGAGCGGTTTTTTCGCCCGTAAGCCGACCGACTTTTTAGCACGACGGCTGCTGCTGCTGCTTATAACAGCACGGCGATGACGACTACAACTGGTTGCCCGCCCCCACTTCTTCCGCACCCCAACCCACGTCCAACTCCCGCTTCACTCGGCGAACTCGAGCCGCCGTCTCTCCACAATCTACGGAAGTAGATTGCCCGCCCTCCATCTCTACCCCCTTTCCCTTCAAATCTTCTCACTCTCGACCCAATGATAAATACGCCTTGCTACGCACTCGCTAGTGTGTGTGTCTGTATATATATATATATATATATATATATATATATATATATATATATATATATATATATATATATATATATATATATATATATTATAATAGTTATTTCTAGAAATTTTTTTCTACTACGGTTGTTGTCTGTGCCTTAGTGTGAACACCGAAAATAATATTCAGCGACGAGGCAAGCTATTCATTTATTTCCTTGCTGTTTAATCGTTAAAACCGAACACCATAAAACGTTCTGTTCAGCAGCTGCCGCTTATATCGCACGTGTGACTAAATAAATCCATATACCTATTTCATCTCTTAGTACATGAGAAATGAATTGTAGCCAATCCGGTACGGAGAGGGTGCTGAAAAATTCTTGACTCGGGATCCCCATTTAGTCAGTTTGTAAAGTGGGTCAGGCCGAGGACTTTTCACCACACCATTTTTACATTATTTATATATATATATATATATAGGCAACCGGACGTCTAGCCACACTCATGAGTTGTGATACAGTGAAACAGTCTGTCTGTTGATAACAATATATATATATATATATGTGTGTGTGTGTGTGTGTGTGTGTGTGTGCATTGTTATCTACAAACAGACTGTTTCTGTGGATAACAATATACATATATATATATATATATATATATATATATATATATATATATATATATATCCACAGACAGACTGTTTTGCCATAGATATATATAGATATATATAGATATATATATTGTGTATTTAAATATATATATATATTGTGTATTGTATATATATATATTGTCTACATAAATAAAATACATATGTATATTGTATATATATATATATATATATTGTGTAAAGTATATATATATATATAATGCATTGTATATATATATATATATATTTTGTATATAAATACATATATTGTGTATACATATACATTGTATATATATATATATATATATATATATATATATATATATATATATATATATATATATATATACACGTGTGTATGTGTGTTTGTATTCCCAAAACATTTTTGATGAAACTACATTAAAATAGATTTAATCCAAATTTTTGTAATTTACACACATGTAGGTGTGGGTGGGTGTGCGTGAGGGTGAGGGAGAGAGAACATTGATTCATTGTTTTTGAATTTGCTAATGTTCGTTGGTCCACCCATTGACGCAATGCATTCTTCCTATCCCTGATTCGTGTCAACTTTGTCCACGGTCAGTTAAAGTTAGTAACTATCTGTACACACAACGGCCAAAAACCATGACAAATTTACAATATAACAATGTGTTGGTCTAAAAAGTGTTTACTAATAGCCTACTAATGAAAGAAAGGGGTAACGCCCCTCTCTATACTCTTGCGAAATATAAGATTTTTATTTTTAATCAAATAACCGACTGGACTTTACTTTTATGCTTGCCTGTGACGCTATAAACTCAAAACGTATCTACACAATCTTCCTACTTCTTAATTGACCCCTGTAGGTTAAGCTCGTGTGATTGTTAAAATATCTTCTTGGGTAACTTACAAAAAATCTACTAGTACTTGACTGTTCAGGGTACAGGTTTGTTAACGGCGTGGGTGGGGCCACAGCTCAGAGTGATAAACGGTGCGTGACTAGATTTACCGTAAATCTGACACAAGATGTCTACGTGTGTGTGTAGACTCTTTTTCTCTTTCTTTCTTTTGAGTCGGAGGTAAGAGTGGTTCGGGATAGGGGGTTGGAGACTGTGTGACGTGACAAAGGAGAGGGTAGAGGAGTTTACTAAGCCAGAAAAGTAGGTACGTAAGCAGACGCGATTTCGGTCTGCGTTCGTGATTGTGTGGGTGTGTAAATGTTGATAGTACGCCTAGTAAGTACGTGGCAGTGGCCGGCGGATATGGAGGGGTGGAGAGTTGCCGATTAAGGCATAGACGTATATAAAATATAAGCATCTACTAATGTATTTTACTACCCTCTCTCTCTCTCTCTCTCTCTCTCTAATATATATATATATATATATATATATATATATATATATATATATATATATATATATTATTTTACGACTCTTGTGATTTCTTTATAAAATAGCGCACACTGAAACTTGCAATTTGCATGGTACTTCGAGTGGCATAAAACGATGAAGAACAAATTATTCTTTGTATATATATATATATATATATATATATATATATATATATATATATATACACACACATACAGATATAATCAGTAGATTCATTCGATGCTCATATGTGTGTATTCATTGTGTTACGTGTGTGCATTTTGAATACACACACATACATATATATATATATATATATATATATATAATACGAAGTGCGTGTAGCAGAAAACGAGAGAGGTGGGGATTCCCTGTAGAGAGAGAGAGAGAGAGAGAGAGAGAGAGAGAGAAAGAGGAGCGTTAAGCGCTGTTGGGTTCGACTGGGTGGGGGCGCGAAACTTTTGCGACGGAAACTTCTGAAGAGCCGAACTCAGCAGGAGTGGCGGGGTGGGGGCGCAACGTGTAGACGGAACGATTGATGGGGGAGGAGGAAGAGGCCTATATACGTCGTCATTTCTCAGTTGTATGTGTGTGAGATTGTTTCGAATTGCGCAAATCTTGTCGCCGAAATCTTTGCGAAGGCGATCAACTCGCTTTGGAAACACCAACGAAACAATCAGACGACATCCAAAAATGTTGACATAAAATATTTATCAATTCACGCACATCTCACATCCAAACGATATTTAATTTTCGGATCGATCTATTTTCTCAAATCTGATGAATCATGTATATCCAAAAATGGATTATGCTGTATGAAACTTTATTGAATTTTAACTGCGTGTAGAGCCAATGTAGTATACATCTTTGACGTTACCTTTTGTGAGCAGTTCCTAAGAAGGTGAAAATGAAAAAAAAATCTGTTTTTCATGATCAAAGTTCACAAATGTTTTTGATAGCGCCTCTATATTGTAACGAGGAAGAGTTTTAGAGTGACGTGTAATAAACGTAAAAATATGATTTTTGTTGACAAAATGATGACATGATCAGAGAATAACGTTTCGAAACCAATTTCCCGTAGCCACATTAACGTTGTCGGCAATAAGAGTAAAGTTGTTACTCCTGTTGTCATCCATGACATGGTTTTGTCATAAAAACGTGTTAAGTCGTGATTGTATGTGAAAATTTCGACAAAAATGACGGATAAAAATAGATCTTGAAAGATGTTCCATTTATGTCTCTTGTAAATATGTGTTTGCGCATGCATGTGCGCGCGCAAACACATATGCATAAACGCCTGTCTTTGTGAATAATTATAAGTAGAATGAGAAGAAGAAAGTGTATTTATGTGCCTAAGGGCGTTTTATAGTAGTATCAGACTTGTCGCTTGAGACTGGTTTGATGGAAGAAACAAGACTTTGTTTCGTTTGTCTTTGTTCAAAAAAAAAATAAATAAATAAAATTAGATCTCTTTGGAGAGATCGAAAGGCAATCTTTCTGTCTATCTCAAATACGAGTTCGATTGCAAGAAATAAAAAAGAATTATCGATTTGTTTATTGATCTGTGCAATGTGTACACGCATACGTACTTTTTTTTCTCTTTTAAGGAAAGCTAAAGGGGCGGGGGTGACTGGTATTTTTCTTTCGATTCTATTTAAACTGTAGCCTTTGCAACGAACCAAATTATTTTCCGACAGCTTAAAAAGTGAATAAATATTTAATGAACTTTTAAGGTGTATATGGAAAATTGAAAATTTTAAATGCGTTAAAAATGGTATATAGTTAAAAGAAATGACAATGGATTTTATTTTAAAATACGGTTTTCGAATAATCTCTAGCGTCCTGAAAACTTTGGGCGTTATAATTTTTACAGGTTAGCATTTACAATCCCGAAAAAAAGATTTAAATAATTGCTTGCAACTTATAAATAAATGGGAAAGTAATAAATTAACTTTTTGTAATTTACACCCTTCCAAAAATATTTCTGCAACCTCGAAATGATTTTTAAAAAAAAAAAAAAGGACAGTTTTTTTCTCATTCTAGTCATCGAATTGGCTTGCTTGGAGTGTTAGGAATCGAGATCTGTTCTTGGATTCTGAATATAGAATGAAGATATTCTTTAAATAGCCAATTTATGAACTTTCTTTCTCATTCCCTGAAAATAGCATACACATTTTACTTGAATAACCGCCATTTAATTACTGTAAGTGTCACGATATACAAGTGTCGCATTTCTCTTTTTTCTACCTCGTGAGATGTACTCAGACTCATGATGGCAATGATTCTGTTGCGTCAGTTTCCAAAGTGGGGAAGAAGAGATTCGTTTTGGACACAATATTCGGATATTATGGGTTTTAAAAAAAACCTGACCTTGAACACAGACTGCTGGGTTCTGTCGGGAAAAAAATCAACTGCTTCAGCCACTAAGTAGGCATAATTTCGGTCACTATTTTCTTTTATTTGTTGTGTAGAAAGCAAAAAAGATTTTCAATTCAAAAAGAGGTTAATTATAATCCAAAAGACGTTATGGGGTAACATACAAAAAGAATGCATTCAAGCAACGAGTAAGAAGATAAATAACTTGTTTTTCTCTTATAGTCACGGGTACCTTTTAGAAAAATCTCGTCAGTGTGTCGGGACAAGTCTTTGTATAAGTGTGTGTGTGTGTGTGTGCGTGTGTCAGGCGTCACTGTGTCTCGCGACTTCTTTTGTCAGGGGATTTGATCGGTGTTCGATCTCGTAACTATGGTTGTGTTTCGTTTTGTCAAAGCCTTCCTTACTTGACTTTTGGAACCATTCATCTGTTTTTTTTTATTATTATTTGCTTTATTTTTTAAAATAATTTTTTTTTTTTTTTTTTTTTTTTTACCTAGACTCACTTTGTGTAGCTGCAATGTTTCTTTTTATTTTTTAAAAATAAATTCTGAATTAAATAATTTTCACATAAAATTAAAAGGATATTTCTTAAAAGTCTGAATTTTGATACAGAAATGTAATTAAAATTTAAATAATGCAAAAACCC